GGCAGCATTTCAATAACAGCAATAGAAGTTGGACATTGAATGGGAAGGGGTTGCTGAGTTCAGAAAGAATAAACATGAAGGCTGTGAGAAAGGCAGACAGAAAATCCATATGAATGATGTTTTAAAAATAATTTGAATATGGATGCTGACTCTATCTTACCTCCAATTATTCTATTTCTATAATACATATGATGATAATACATTAAATTATTATGCAATATCCAGGAGGAGATTATCAGTGAAAGGAGATGCACAGTGAAAGGAACTGGGGGTATCTCTGCAGTACAACATGAGCGTACACACACATAAGAACTCACACATACAATCCTGAAGAAAAACATTCTCTGCAGGAAGGAGCTGATTAAAGAAAAACATAACATAACATAGCAGTGGAGAGGAAATTTTTTTTTTTTTTTTTTTTTTTTTTTATATTGAGGAACAGATTAACTGGAGGGATAATGAAAAAATAACCACTGGAGAGATCTGAGTACATCATAAAACTTCTAATGCAATAAACTAAGTACTTTGCATATTAAAAAGAAAAATATTGCGGTCCCTCATAAACATAACTGAGAGCAGATTATCAGATATTGTAACTTGAATATAAAAACCTCTTGYAGAGCAACTTGACACTTTAAATAGTAAAAGGCCAATTAATTTCAGCTAAGCCTCCATATAGCAATGCTAAAATAGAGACTTGTACTAATTAAGGTACTTGAGAAGACAAAAAATCATGTTTTCTATATAAAACAAATATGATGCACTCCTTTCAGTGAGTTATTGCTGCCAAATGACAAAGCAAGGAGTATCCACAGTGATTTTCAGTTAAAATTCTTATAATTGGTTGAAAATATTTGAAGTATATAAAAAAAAAGAATGCTGAAGAAAGTAAAGTATTTTATATATACTATATATATGAAATATAGATTTCTTAGGATATTTAGCAGAATTTATCTTCCATTACATATCCAAATAAATTCCTTTAAATAATGCAAATAAAATGACATTGTACGCTTTAAATTTGTAGAAAATACACTATCTTTGTACTTGCCCTGGAAAAACTTGCCATGGAAAAAGATATAATTACTATAGAATTTGAATGTGCATTCAAAGCTATTGCCAATAGATGGCAGAAATTCACCATACTTAACCACAAAAACACTGAACATGATTAAAAAATTATGATGCTAGGAAAGGGTTTTGACACCTGTAGATGTATCAAGAGACAGGAAATGATTTTAAGGTTTTGGAATTTATAATTCCTCTATCTCATTGATAACACTAAAATTTAATTTTCAGAGCACTTCTTGTGTCACCATAATTAAGATACTGCTCAAAGTTTCATTAAAATATACACACATTTTCCAAAATGTACAAGATGTTCTGAGAATTCAAATATGGTTTTAGGCAAAATTGTTCTGTGGTGCTTACGTCAAAAAGTCTACAGGGTTTTGAAATAAATGTGGTTTTCCATGTCTGTTTTCCCCACACAAATTTCAAGTGTGAGCAGCTATTTCATCTTGAAACACACTTGCTGAATGGCCAGGAGGCATTTGCATTATCAGCTTAAGTCACCTGAAACAGGCACTGTTTTTCCTCTAATCCCATCGATGATAGGGATCCCTTAATAATGGGGGCAAACATCCTCTGAATCACAAAACTAGCTGCCTACAAGACACATTGGGGAAAAAAAATAATAATAATAAAAAAATAAGACCAAGATTCAGATCCAAAACTTGGTATGTCTATAATGGGGCAAACTGAATTTAGACAGAATTTGAGCAAGGAATAAAAAAAAATATATATTCCCTCTTTAATTAAGTACATTAACAATCCACCTCCATGCTGTGCATATTTGCATTCTTTGTCTACCTTCTCTTCCCCACTTTAAATCTTGAATTATCTTCTGAATAACATTAYTGTTTCAATAGTACCTTAGGCTAAAGGGAATGCCAGGATAGACGAYGATGGTAAAACCATCAATATATAGTATTACAACACAACAGTAATCACTTTCTAGCACTTAAAATAGTAGAACAAACCAAGCACTGAAAGGATGTCAGGAAGAGGAAACTGTTGGTTAATATATATTCTATAACTTTGACTACTGTGAATCAAGGATAAATAAGAGAACAACAAATTAATACAAGTTTTGTTTATTTACATCACTGTAGTTCTAAGGTTGATTGTTCCTCAGCCACATGTGCCTGTAAATATAAAGACTACTTTCTTTGTCTTCCTCTATCAATATCATCCTATGAAAGCAACTTATTCCAATACAGTCTGCTCATAAAAATCAATTCTTCTTCATAAGCATAAAAGTGCATGATCAACAGATATTTCAGTTATGCAAAGTTCCTTTGCTACAAGAGAAGAAAAAAATAACTTTTTAATGGCAAGTAAAATGTCTGTAAATCATTAGTGAACATGACCAGAAGTTATCCAGGTTTTGCAGGCTCCAGACTAAAAGACTGCAAACTAAGCAAAGAAATTAAGATTTGATAATACAAAGTTTAGCTGTGATACACAGATCATGATGACTTTGTATTAAAAAAAAACCCTAGTATTAGCACAGGACCACTTGTTTCACTGTTTTTTCATGAAAAAAAAAAATATTTGCTGCACACCTTCACTTAGACTGTAAGGGCAATATTCACACTCAGCATTGCACTGATATCATTTGGTTGAAATTAATTGTCAAAATTACTGTAAGATCTTTAGAATCAGAAACTCTGTATTTTCCGTTATCATTCTTCCCTTGGGAAGAATTCTCTCTACTCCAAAGAAGCCTGCACTTGGAGAATTGTCCTTTTATCACCACCATGAACTTTCTTATACAGTTCTGCGCAAGAAATATAACGGTTTGGTTTATATGCAAGTATCTGCATAAATGTTACTGTTGGCAAAACAGTGCTGGAAAAAATGTCAAGGGGATCTAGATGAAAGAGAACTTCATCAGGAAAAAGAGATGTTTGTAATTGTACCGTTTTAAGACCTAGTCACAGCACAGCAGCTATCAGCTTCACTGGCTGTTGAAGCAAGTTACACCACTGAATTACCTCCAGGTTCAGTAAGATTTCTTCCTTTTCTGTACTATTCCCCCATTCTTTCAGTAATCTAATACTCGGATCATTCCTTGTGCCAGCAAATCCTTWGTGCTCAGGCACTTCCTTTGCTTATGGTACACCAGCAAAAAATAATATTCTAGAAATCCCTTCCAAAGATATAATGTTTTTACAGATCTTAAGTGCTGCTGTTTCTTCATCTGAACACTAGACACTGAAAATGCCATAATTCATGGAATACTTTTGGTAGAAAACATCATGTGCTCCATTCCATTCCACATATTGAATTATGTTTGCTTACCAAAATCTAGTTGGAAGATGAAAGCCATATCTTTCATGCACAATGAATGAAAATATCCTTCTTACACAATGTTTCAAGATAGAAATATACTTTAAGGTTAACTGGACAAAAAGATAGGAGGTCAAAGAGGAAATCTTCACATAAGCATAATAGCTGAAGGAAGGCATTTCTGAACTAATGTAATATATAGAGGAAAGCTAACTGGCTTTTCACTAAAGTGGAGTAAGGTAATACATTCAGATCATGCATCCTCTCTCCAGTCTTCAGATTTTGTGATAATGTGTCTCTTAGGTCAATCAGAAATGCAAATGCTGTATTTCACATTTTTCCATTTGCATTTTGTGAAGACTAAACATAATGCTGAGTTTGCACAGTATTGGAATCCACTGATGTCTGAGCCTGTAATATGTTGGATGAGACTTGCATTGCCTAATATTAAGCGTTCTGTAATTATTTGCCTAGCTAGAAGGCTAAAGAAGGCTTTTTGCTGTTCTTACATTTTCCACAAACTGATTTCCTATCATTAATATTTAACCGTATGACATGTTTTCCTTCAAAAAGCGTTACTTAGTTTTACATACACAATGGATAAGCTCATCATGTAAGATGACTTTTTGGTTTTACCACTTTCTCTTTTCGGATATAAGATTAATATGATTATATATATACACACAGTAACCCTGTTTCATACTATACTAAATCATTAATAACTTTTACATTCTTCCATTTCTGCATAAAGTTAAAATATATTTCTATAAATGATGCTTTATTTTATTGTCCTGCCATGTAAAACATTTAAATGGACCATTGTCTAGTTTTCAGGAACAATTAGTGGCTCTACTTCTGGAGAAATGCAACCTTATGCAGCTGTCAAATGATGTGTCACATATGTCAGCTAAAGAAAACATATTTGCAAAGGATGTAATTTTTTAGGGCTTAAATTTAACCCTTTTTTACCAAATAAAAACTCCAAAATTTGGCCTCAATTTTATGCAAGTAGACAAATATATGCAATTYATTCAAGAAAACTTAAAACATGTAATTGAACGTATTCTGTTTTCAAATATCCTTTTTTGCCCACTTTGCTTCATTCTGCATTCCTTCTYATATGTGCCATATTGTTTTCTACTGTCTTCCCAGCAAAACCTAAGCCAAGATTAAGCCTAGGAACACCTAAGCAACTCTTCTGAATCTAGTGTTTCAGTGGATTTAACTTAGCTACATTATTTCAAAAAATGAAGAAACGTTGTTGATTTTATTATTGACAATGATTTATGGCAATACAGTTCAATGAATGAATGCTCTGGTTTTTCTTCCAGGGTTGTAAACTGGGGCAATTACATCACATAAACGGATTTATAAAAACATCCTCATGTGGGACCCTACTGCCAAAGGGACTTCACCACCAGTTTCAGGAGCTTCTRAATTATTTTAATGAGTGAATGTATTTAGCTTTGTCTGACATAACTCACCTGTCTATCTAAAGAGCCCATCGACTGCAAAATAAAACAAACTTTGGTAACATTCTTCTCCTTACATGATGGTACAAGGTGAAGAAATGCTGCATCAMAATCTGTCAAGTTTAAGTATTTTGATAACAGTTATATATAGAAAAAAAAAACTATTTTACTCACCAAGCCAACTTCTGTTTAAATATACTGACACAAACACTGGAGGAACTGTGAAGAAATCTACTACTGAGTTAACTTCAAGCCAGAACCACAGCTTGTCATTGGCTGCTATGAACTGGAGGGGGAAAAAAAAAAAAAAAAAAAAAAAAAAGAGGAGGAGAGAGAGGGAAGAAACAGATTATACACATTGATTGCAAGTAGATAAGTGGGTGCAGTGTTTTCCATCTGAAGAATAAACACTTAAGACAATGCTGATACTTTCACTAATTGTGAAATTTCACTAAATCTTTCACTAATATTTAAAAAGTGCAGGGAAGTATTTCAAAATGGATCATCTTCACACTAGCACACCAAACCCTTCTGCAGTAGTTACACCATATATTTACTATTCAGAGCTTTCTAAATATCTGACAGTTTTAAAAGAAATCAAAGCATTAATCACCAGACTGATCCTTATAAGGCCTAAGTCAGAGCTAGTGCATCAACTTCAGCACTGGATCCAATACTTGGATTACTTCGTGCACGAGGCCATTTCTCTCTGCTGAGAATAAAGCCTTGGGAGTCTAACTTAGATGCCTATGACATTATTGTGCAACTGTCTATTAATGTTTGCACATTGATAAGAGGAATGCCAAAAAAAAGGCCTGACAATTATTTATATTCAAGAAATAATCAGGAAATATACTTTATATAATTATGAAATAAAAATGTATAAAAATAGAGTTTAGTGCATCACAAAGATGCTCCATTGCATCAAAATCGAGCAATTTTTTCTCAGGTAAAACCTAAAACTTGGACTAAAATATTTAAGATTCATACTTGTATTTTTTGAATTATAGATTATGTCCACTGTCTTTCATACATAATAGATAGAAGTATTCTCTAGCTATTTAATCACTTAAATATTCTTGCTTCTAGGATTAATTCAAAACATGGTTTAAGGAAAAATGTAAAATGAACATGGTACATCCCATCTATAGGAAAAGGGCCTTTAGTAATGTCAAAAATATTGTAGTCATAGTTAAAATAAAAATTTGCTTTATGTTCGCAATATGAACTGTACTTGCCTCCTAGGATACTAGATTTTAAATAATTCATCATCTTACTTTTCTGTGATACTCAATTATGTCAAAGCTCCAGCATGAAAACTGAACAAAAAGTATCCAGTTTCAGCAGGAATTTTAAATTTCAAGCTGTTAAATTCAGAAATAGTCAGCATATTTGGAGCCAAAAGCTTTTCCAGATCACAGATCAGAATTTTCATAATCTGTTATGATTAGAAAACAGTCTTTTCTAATCAGTTTTATCTTTCTTTAAAGCACAACTTTTAGCCTTTCAAAAGGTCGTTTACTTGTTATTCAACAATGAAAACAAAGTATATTGACTCTAAAGGCCACTTATACTTTTCTGTACAACTATTTGAACAATTATTCATTTGGCTTTATAATTAGTAACTAACAAAAGCACATTACATGACAGAAATAAACTTTACCATACTTGAAGCTTAACTTGCCAACCTACAAGTATTAGCATTATTTTATATCTGCCAAATCTCTGTCAGAGCTCACTGCCTGATTGACTGTTAACACGTGCAACTTGGTCTTAGTCTTCATGAGTAGTTCAAAGATTTCCCTTCTGAGTTACCACACTGCTGGGTACTAGCCAAAGATTTTAAAATGGATACGTGTGTGTTTGAACATAAATATTTCCAGAAGTGGAGATTTAGCAATACTAGTATAATTTTGAGTTGCATTATAGCATTTCAGAGAGAACAGATGGATTAGGATAGGATTTAAAATATTTCTTCAAATATCTTTCTTTGCCAGCAAGTCCTCACAGGAGATATTTATTGGAATGAACTGAAAAAGCTAAAGGTATGAGAGATTATTATTTAAATAACTGGCAAATCCACTACTGACCCACAGTGCCAATGGAACCTTTGTCACAAGGGCACTTCGCTGGCTCATGTCCAGCTTGCAGTCCACCAGCACCTCCAGGTCTGTATCTGCTTTTCAGCATGCTAGCCTCAGCATGCACTGGTGCATGGGGTTGATCCTCCCCACGTGCAGCACCCTGTACTGCCCTTTGTAACTTCGTGAGGTTCCTGTCTACCCGCTATTCTTCCAGCCTGTCAACTCCCTTTGAATGGCAGGGCAATTTCTGATTTCACTGAATGTGAGAGGCTTCTCTAGAATGCTGTCTTACATGCCCTTCCTTGCTGACATGCAAATGCTTGAGGTGCCTCCACTTGAGTCTTTTGTTGTTGATCATGTAGTCCACTGTTCACATCATCCCATTGCCTGTTAAGCCTTTCATTCACTCCCTCACATAGCTGCTGCTCTCTCCCTTCCCCTTCATTCATAGCTTAGAGCCCTTGCTTTAGTTCTGCTGGGTCAGTAGAACTGCTTGAGAAATTGTAGTTGCGCTTAGAAGAGTATTAATTTCAATCAGAAGAGTATTAATTTCAATCAGAAGGGCAAGCTTAAAGTGAATCTCTATCATCTCTACTTACTTCTATATGCATTACAAAGTAGTATTGGAGAGCACAAAGATATGTTTTGTTTGAAAGAAGAACCAAAAAAAAAGAATCACCTATCATAATCCAACTGCTCTCCCAGAACATCCTCTCCTATTGTGTTCTGCTTCTTCATAATCTCCAAATAGCCCAAATAACTGCTAAGAAAGTATGAGCAGCAGATACTTGAACTCTCTTAGTACAAACATGTAACCTTATCACAAACAGAAATCATTAGGACACTTCTGGATTTAGGGTTCTTGGAAGGTCATAAGAACCATGAGCTGAACCTGCTGTGTCAAAAGGTCAATCTATACTRGCTATCTAGTGGATATCTATAAAAAAGGCAAAAATAATCTTAATACTTAGAGACAAATATACTATGTGTGTTGAACATATAGCACAGGATGTATGCACAGCAGTGCAAATATTGAGGGAATAGCACTACCTAGCTAATGGACAGTCAATGCACCTATTGGATGGGGTAATGAAATAAGTTAGATCTTTTATTTGCAACAAAATTGGTAATTGGATCATCAGAAAAAAAGTTGGTTATGCTGGTGAGAAATGAGAGCGGAGAGACAGGCTATCACTGTGACAGAGARGTTCCCATGATTCAGGAGCAAAATGGACAGTGGCCACAGGCAGTTCTCATGAAAGATTTCAAGGCCCAAGCAGCAGGTTTTCCAGTCATGAGAGATTTTACTCCCATGTCCAACTCAAATGTTCTACGACATTTGAACTTTTCTTGTGTTCCCGATTTAGTTAGCCACAAAGTTAATTTTCAAAGCATACCTCAATATATATTGATATTAAAAATAACAGCTTGAATTGTAGGTATTAAAGCCTAAAGGTCTGCAGCCCAGATCAATAAAAATGCCTACACATCGTGTAGTTATCACATTTATACTTTATAACATAAAAATATTAATTCAATATGTACAGCTTCTGCAAAGCATTAAATTCATAGTCTGGGAAAGTAGATGTGCATAAAAAGAAGTTCTAACAGCTGTAATCTCAACCTTCACCCACCAAAGGCCTGTCTAGCATTGCAAAAGCAGTTGAAGTCTTTGGTAGTCTTGCTGAGACAGACATCATTCTATTACTCTATTACTAAATTTTAGTAATTTAAAATCTATTACTAAATAATAAATTTGATTCCATTTAACTGACCAGCACTGGACTATAGCAGTTTTCACTTTCTAAAAAGCTGAAGCACACTCAAATGGACAGCTTAACTTTATAACCTGACCATCTGTGTGGTAATCATTACTACACAGTAATGATCCCTTTATCATTACTACTAAACTGTTCTCAATCAAAAGCTTTACTCCTGCATTTCAGATATTGGCTTAATTTCATTCAGCAGTTGTCAAGCTGTGCTATCTTCAGAGAGTCTCCCTATTTAATAACTACATTTCCCCCCTTACCTAACTCAATCAAAGACACACTACTTACACGCAAGCCGAAGTAGAGGAGGAAGAACACATTGAAAGCCATGTCGATCTGTAATGTGAAATCTTTGTAGAAATTCTGGCAGGATTCTATTGGGCTATTTGAAAGAAAAAGAAATTAGAGGAAACTGTAAGAATATGAATTTCTATTCGTGACAGTTTTCTTTAGAGATTTAAAATATTGACTCAGGAATTACATTTCTGTTTGCCAAGCCCTTTCAAAATACAAGCAGGCATTTCAAATGAAATATTTCATTCATTCAGTTAGTCATACAGTCTCAGTGTTCACCTGTTCAGGTAATATCTGAAAAATAACATGCAGATACCTTTAAGAAGACAAGCAGGAGAATATTTTAGGATTCTTTAACCCCACATTAACCCTTAAAGAACTGGCTTCTTTCTATTCATTACACACCTAGGATACTTTAGGAACTACACCAACAGGCACACAGCTACAGTGAAACATTACACATTTTAAATGAATGTCATAATGAAAAACCTTAACAAAACATAGTTGCTTAGGAATACATTACCCATTAGCAACCTGGCATACTTAATCTTGTACAATCCCTTGTTTACAAGTTTTTTTATTATTTTTTTCTCACTTTTTATATGGCTAGTTATGCATTTTATGTACAGTACTATGAGCTGAGTAGAGAAGCAGCATAGCCCACTGGTAAAATTAAAGAACAAAATCAATTGAGGAATTTGAAGCAGTACTCTAAGGGTTAATTTCTGCATGCAGGTTAATTAAATACCTTTGTGTGTGTCAGGCAGCCAGTGCAAATTCTAGCTTATTATATTATGCTTTAAATAACAGTGGGACAGATCCAAAGCATACTCTATACAAACTGGTACTTCATAGATACAGTTTCACCTAAGGAAGAATACTTTCATGACTATGGTTAGTGATTTATTTGTGAGGTTTGCAAAATAAGTAGGTGAAGCCACAGAGCAATGCTGAAGTCATAGACCAAAGTGAAGAGCGTGTCCCAATATATGCAGAGGTATATACTATATACACATAATGTCCCACTATATATACATATATATGCATACATATATTGCAAATGATCATGTATTCATCATAACTGCAATACAGAGGAAGAATAACTATAAGGTTCATCAGCTGATCATTTGGAAACATAGAAAAGATTCTTTTAGCATATTGAATATTCTTCGGCTTCCCAAGTCAAATAAATCACTCAATGTGAACATTATACCAGTTAGTATAGCTGTAGCTCTGCAAATATGATGCTAAACTGCTCAACAAGCAAAATTCTATGCATCATGAATGTCAGTTACCTAATTTAAGGCATAAAGGCATAAATTACCTGAACTACCAAGTCATTACACATGCAGTCATTTTTTTCCATTCCTTGTATACATTACAGGTCAAACAAGTTAAGTACAGCATGCCCTCTCTTGGCTTTAGATGCATGAATGTATACAGCAAAATTCTCCCTGATGTACAATAGCTTTGTATTTTAGGCAGCTTCAGTACTATAGGAAATGATATTAGAATACTGTAAAAATAAAAGCTATTTGCAAAGATATAAAAGATATGAAATATATCTGCTGTACTTCAAATAAAATTGATTTACAAAAGCAGGCAGAAGGGAAGAGAAGCCAAATGTTAACACACAGGACAGATGATAGCATCTCATACTTCACAAATACAAGTTTAGCTACAAGAAAGGGTTTGTAATCTGAGAATCCGACAAGCTCATTCTCTGTATGGCATTATCAAGAGCAAAGGAGTTTGTTAAAACAAAGGACGCTGAGTCACTACACACCCTAACAACAGAAACAGAAGAGAAGAAGGAAGAGAAGCAGAACGAACCACAATGCCTCAACACAGGGACTGAGACCCCCAATTCTATGTTATGTTTCTGCAGAAGCATCAAGAATCCACTGAAGRTAATTGAATGACACAGATTTTTAACCAAGGTAGAGACAAGTTCGTTATCTTCCCTTCCTCAATGATTTGGTGCTGGTCACGACTGCTATGTGAGGTCAGCTCAGGTAGTAGCTATATTTTTGCACCGTTCTCCTTTACGGGCACTTGCAAGGGCTGACAAATTAGCTAGTAAATCACCATCTTGTTTGAAAAGTAGTTGGCACACTGGACTATAATCACATTTTGGGACTGTTGCTAGCATAATAACTGGGCTACCTTCATCACTATTTACATCTCTTGAGCATCCTTCCTTTTAAAGATGATGATACTTCAATGCCCAAGTCATTCATTTGAAAGACAAACACAATGTCTTTTCCACTTTAAGACTGTGTTAGAAAGGCAGACAATGACATTAAAGTTTAAGAATTGTTTTTTATACTCATAAGAAGGATTAGGCAAAATTTTTAATTTTCTGAATTAAATTTTGATGACATTCCACAGTTTGGTTTTCTTTTCATGGGTAGCTCACATTTGGACCAAGAGGATAATACAACTAATAATTTTAGCACTGCATTAAATTCAGCCTTGCTAACAAGAGTATATTTCTTATAATCAAAACAGTAAAGTTCTTGGATTTCTGGACCTAATAAAATGTTTTCTATTTTACAGTAAAATCTCTTTATCCTACAGAAAGTCACCTCCATTTAGATGAGTCAAGGACAGACATTCAGAAGATGCAGCAGCCTGCATTTAGTGCTCTACCATGTTAAGTATGATTCAACTAAATTCTCATGCAGTTACACTATTAAACCCAGGAGAAGTTACACTAAAAAAAAAAAAGTTGATGGAAGTACAACATGTTCACAGTGACAGGAAAGATGTAATGCAACTCCGTAGCATTTACACTAAAGATGTAGCCCAAACTGCAATATCTATAATCACAAAATTACTTTTTTTTGCCACACAAAAGCCAACTGCAAAAACTTAGCGGAAGTCATGGTTTGCCTTTTCATAAGAAACACTCATAACACCAATTTTAAACCAACTAATAATAGAAAAATCCAGGTGATAAACTATCAGGAAATATAATTCCTCATTACACTGCCTGATCTAGCCAGCATTATTTGAATGACTGGAAGTTTTATCCAGAAGGTCAATGTTTATAGTAAGTTATCATTTGCTGTAAACTTGTGCTCTATGCTACCAATAATTAAAATTCAATATGAAAAAACTGAACAGAGTGAGAATGTTGGACTCTGCCTAGACTGACCCTCCCTGGCTGAAGTATGCATTATCCATAATAAAGGCATCACRGGCAGAGATCAGTTCAATAAACAAGATATCTACACTAATCCAGCTTTAACTTTATGGAAAGGGGAGAAAATTTTACAGGAAGCTCCTAATATCCCCAAACTTTTATTTGCTTATTTTTTGCAATTGACACTTTACATAATTATAGCTACAGTTTACCACAGTTGAAAATAAAGATTACTTATTCTAATAATAATATATAATAAATATAATAATATAATGTAAATAATATAATAATAATAAGGACAAAAAGTAATACGAATTCTAAAAGTTTTCTGAAATGATCTGTTTGTGAAAACCTCTGGTAGGAGTTTTGACAGAATATTTCTAATATTTTCCAATCACAACCAAACTCAAACAGCCAATGGTGTTATTGCACTTCTTTAAAAATATAATTTCCAGATGTGGTTAGACTTTGACTGTGTAACTGAAACAGTTCATTCACTGCAAAACACTTATTTTTACTTTGGTTGAATTATACTACTCAGAAGGAAAAGAAAATCATTTAAAAGATGTTCTTCATTGAAACAGAACCATTAAACTACAGCATAATTTAAACATAGATGCCACATGAAGTGTCATCCTGTAGAAATGAATAACAAAATTAAAGTCACTGAGATTCTGTAAGAGTTTAAAACATCAACTGCTCCAACACTCCACAGACTCATAAAGAGCATGGCAGTACCTCTCTTACCTCAAAAGCCTTTCATTTATTAACCAAGTTAGATCCATAGTAAGGAAGCAAAAAGGGTTTTTTTTTTTTTTTTTCAGTATATGTACTAATCTTAGAAATAAGGAATGGTCTGTYATATGACTCGATTTATAAGGCCTTTCCTCAGACCACAGAAACAAATGATTCGCTATTATTTTGGAGGCAAATGTCTTTAATTCTTTTAGTTGAAATGATAAGGTCCAGTTACCAGGGATGTTTCAGTGCTACTGTCTAAAGCTAGCCGGGCAGGGGATATGCAGGAGTTATTTTTTTCCTCAAGAAAAGGAACAGCCAGCTGGTTCAGACTCGTGCTTTACTGATGGCATGAGGACCAACCACTTTGCTCGAGTAGACATCTAAAGTAATCCCTAACACCTGGGAAACATAAAACTTCATGGGACCCTTGCATCCAAACTGTTTCTAATGAATACCATCTGGTTGGAGATACTTAGTAAAGGAGGAACAATCCTTTTCTTGCAGAATTTTGCAGCCATTTTCCGCTTAACAACCAAAGATAATGCTGTGACCTTTTCCTAGGTTATCTCATCTAGCTACACATAATAAGACATTAAAATCCCTTTTGCACACTCATCATCCTTTCTCTAATTCGTTAATTAACTCCTTCTCCTACACATACACACATATGTGCAAACACACTCATACAACCAACTTGTCTCTGCTCCCAACACATTTCAGTGACAAATTCTGCACCTTTTTTTGTTCTCATAGCTAAGCTCTTTCTCTCTCCCCCATCACTCACGTTGCTTTTGAAGATAGATTSTTGACTTTAGGCTCATAAACACGAAGCCAAATGTCAAAATTTGATTCACACCATCTTCTTTATTAGATTTTAAAATAAATGAGCAAAATATCAGCCTGACAAATAAAGATGGACTGTCAAATAACGTATTTTAATACATTTTAGTGTATTTTAATACATTAATTTTTTTATTGTAATATCTATTTTCCAAGATTTCTGAGACTACTCTTCATCACATTTTCTGATAGCCTGTAGAGTCTGCAGATGCTAAGTTGGCATTAAAATATTACCATTCAAGTTCTAACCTAATTAAAAAAAAGCATCATGACTCATCTGTTCTGTAGATGCTTTTGACAATTAAGTATTTCTATATGATATTCCTAGTCCACTGGGGAACCTTGATAATCTTATGATT